CAGATCCCACATCTCAGACCAGGGCCTCTTATGGAACGCTATAACTTTTCTTGATAGTACTCACTGCAAATGATTAATGCTATGTGGAACATTGGTTAACATTGTATTGAAGTATAAGATATACCCTACAAAGTGTCTAATCTTGAAAAACTTGTACATGTGGATAAATCTGAGGAGCTACCACCCTGATCAAGCCGTGGAACGTTTCCAGCACCCCAGAAGACTCTGTTCCTGCTGTTTAAACCACTAAGTTTGTGGTACTCAGACACCTAGTTGGTAGTTAGAGGTGTTCTCGCCACCACCACCTCCACCTCAATGATGCAGGTGACCTGCCAAGGAAGCCAAAGCATTTCTCAGCAAAGCTGTGCCATGCCTGGAAGGAAGTCTGTGGGGGCCACAGAGCTGTGGGTCTGGCAGCCCCGCTATAACACCAGAGTGAGTTAGCCACCAGTGACAATGTTTGGGGGCTGTGGTGGCACCTAGCATGCTAAACTCACATTCAGAACATGGTGGAGGCTGCTTCCCTTTTCTGCTGGCCAAACTTCACACAGATCCTCTTGTCAGCCCAAGCAGAACCACCCAGAGAAGGGGATTCTGCTAAACACAGTTTCCATTTAGCTAAGTCGCCACTGTACCAACCACCACAGGGGGCATCGTTTCTGCAGAGAAGCTCTTTCAATGTCTTGCGTGGGGAGCATACACGAGGCTCCTGGTACCCTGGTCAAAGATGGGAGACAGGATGGGGCTCTGGTCAAGAGTATGTGGACCTCTACTAATCCTTCAGTTTGGGGCACATAACCTCATCCATGGCCTCAACTCTGACACATGTTCCAGAGTTGGGATTCTGGCCTTCTCAGGGTCTCCAGAGAACAATTCTCCGGTTACTTGTGAGAATCGGGGGTTTGGTGATGCAACTGCAAAGGACGGGAATGATCAGGGGTGGGTCCAAGTGGCTCTAACAGAGGCTTTCAGACTACCTCCCTGTTTTCAGCCCTGCCTGAGCCTTACTCCTGCTCTCCAAGCTACCTGTGCCTCAGCCCTGAAGTTGTCAGAGTTCTAAGCAGTGAATCCCTCTCTGCCATTAACCCCACTGGGCTCCAAGGTGTCCCTGCATTCTCTCCTCTGCAATGCCAGATACCTGTTCTCCACTTTTTATTCCACTTCCAAAAATTTGTTGACATTTTTCACTTGCTGGTGCGAATTTTTATCCACTGTGGTCTTTTCGCTTGCTCTCATTGTCCTTGCAGGTTATATATATATATATATATATATATATATATATATATATATATATATATATATATTTAATAATTTTCCTCACACTTCGGTTGTGTCTCAGAAGGAAGTAGCAGTCAATACATACACCCAACCTACCATTTTAAACACAAGACTTAAAATATTTTTTTCTATATGTTTTTGGGGTATAGGTGGTGTTTGACTACATGAGTTAAGTTCTTTAGTGGTGATTTGTGAGATTTTGGTGCACGCATCACCTGAGCAGTATACACTCACCCTATTTGTAGTCTTTTATCCCTCCCCTCCTCAACCTCCCCCGCAAGTCCCCAAAGTCCATTGTATCATTGTTATGCCTTTGCATCCTCATAGCTTAGCTCCCACATATCAGCGAGAACAATGTGTGGTTTTCCATTCCTGAGTTACTTCACTTAAAATGATAGTTTCCAATCCAGGTCACTGCAAATGCCATTAATTCATTCCTTTTTGTGGCTGAGTAGTATTGCATTGTATATATATACCACAGTTTACTTATCCACTTGTTGATTGATGGGCATTTGTATTGGTTCCGCAATTTTGCAATTGCGAATTGTGCTGCTATAAATGTGTGTGCAAGTATCTTTTTCGTATAACGATTTTCTTTTCCTCTGGGTAGATACCCAGTAGTGGGATTGCTGGATCAAATGGCACTTTTGATCAAATGGCAGTTTGATCAAATGGCAGTTCTTCTTTTAGTTCTTTAAGGAAGTTCCACACTATTTTCCATAGCGGCTCTACTAGTTTACATTCCTACCAGCAGTGTAGAAGTGTTCCCTGATCACTGCATCCACGCCAACATCTACTGTTTTTTGATATTTTGATTATGGCCATTCTTGCAGGGATAAGGTGGTATCCCATTGTGGTTTTGATTTGCATTTCCCTGATCATTAATGATGTCGAGCATTGTTTCATATGTTTGTTGGCCATTTGTTTATCTTCTTTTGAGAATTGTCTATTCATGTCCTTACCCCACTTTTTGATGGGATTTTTTTTTCTTTTCTTACTGATTTGTTTGAGTTTGTTGTAGATTTTGGATATTAGTCTTTTATCAGATGTATAGATTGTGAAGATTTTCTCCCACTCTGTGGGTTGTCTGTTTACTCTGCTGACTGTTCCTTTTGCTGTGTAAAAGCTCTTTAGTTTAAGTTCCAGCTATTTATTTTTGTTTTTATCGCATTTGCCTTTGGGTTCTTGGTCACGAAATCTCTGCCCAAGCCAATGTCTAGAAGGTTTTCCAATGTGATCTTCTAGAATTTTTATAGTTTTAGGTCTTGGATACGGCATCTTGGATTTTTGTATATGGCGAGAGAAGAGTATCCAGATTCATTCTCCTACATATAGCTAGTCAATTATCCCAGCACCATTTGTTGAAAAATGTGTCCTTTCTCCACTTTATGTTTTTGTTTGCTTTGTTGAAGATCAGTTGGCTGTAAGTATTTGGGTCCTTCTCTGGGTTCTTTATTCTGTTTCCTTGGCTGATGTGCCTAGTTTTATACCAGTACCATGATGTTTTATTGACTATAGAGTTATACTATAGTTTGAAATCAGGTAGTGTGATGCCCCCAGATTTGTTCTTCTTGCTTAGTCTGGCTTTGGCTATGCGGGTTTTTGTTTTTGTTTTTGTTTTGCTTCCACATGAAGTTTTAGAACTGTTTTTTCTAAACCTATAAAGAATGATGATGGTATTTTGATGGGGATTGCCTTGAATTTGTAGATTGCTTTTAGCAGTGTGGTTATTTTCACAATATTGATTCTACCCATCCATGAGCATAGGATGTGTTACCATTTGTTTGTGTCATTTCTGATTTCTTTCAGCAGTGTTAAACGCAAACTTTTTTTCCACTCATTCTTTAACCCAGAGCCCCTTGGCTTTGTTCCCAAAAAACTCCTGGTATAATTCTCCACCTCCTAATTTCCAGGTCACTAGACTCTTTCTAACCATCACTCTGCTTGAACTTTCTGTATATCTGGCCTTGCCCACACCCACACCCCTGTTTTCTGCTCCTACCTGGTGGACGCTGTCTCCTGTGCCGGGTCTCCTGGAACCCCCTGATCACTCCCTCAGTTTCCTTTGCTGGCTTCTCTTCCTTTTCACTCTCCTTAAGTGATATTCCCTATAGCTTAATCTTTGTATCTATTTGCATTCTCACCATGGTTTTAATGATCATGTTTACAGAATGATTCACAAACCTATATCAATCAGGACTCTTTGTCTCAAGTAATAGAAACCTGATTTCAGAAACAGAAACATAAATTTGCTTTAGACCGAGGCATCCTAAGAAACATGAATGACAGGAAAGCCTACCATATGCTGTCTTATATTACTTCTCTGTGTTGACCAACTACTTATACTGAAAATGATGACACAGAAGGAAAGAGAATTGTAATTCCTTACTCATCAATAAGGTGAGCAATGTTGGTAGAATGTGCACATATCGATTAAGATGAAAACAGTCGAGTAACAGAAACCTAATTCAAATTTGGTTAAGAAACAAAGGGAGAGGTTATTAACTCATTTATGTAACTCAGGACTCAACTGAGATGCTCATAATCTCTACTCCTTGAGGGGTTTGTTTTTGTCCGTGTCTCTCAGCTCTGCTTTTCTCCACATTGGCCTCGTTCTCAGGCAGTCCCTCTCTACCTGGTTATAAGTCCAAAATGCTCTATGATGTCATGGTCCTCATGTCTCATCATCCCAGAGGAAAAGGGTGTCTCTTTCCCCACAGATGTAACCAGGTTCCTGTGGAGGACACGGCTTTGCTAAGCCTGCCTGCCTTCTGTGTCCTCCTCTGGGGGTGAGTCCACCTCCCCAGAACCATGGGGACTGAACAGGATTACTACAGAGCAGCAAAGAAGTGGGGTACCAAAGGAAGGGTGGGTTGTGGAAGGGATGGAAAGGGGAAGGAGATATTACATTTATTTTGACAATTTGAGGAGGTCTAGATTTAGGACATCAGGGCTGTCATCCTGGTTCTTTGGGTTTCTTGTCTTTTGTCTGTATAATAGGAAGGTTGGAATTCTAAGGCCCTCTGTCCACCATCATCTTTCTTTAATTCTATGAATAATGGACACATAAAGCAGAAGCTTTTGAAGGTGCCTCTGGGCATAGTCTGAGGGGCAGCAGAGCACAGTGGTTAGGAGCGTGAACTCTGGAAACAGATGTGTCATTCTGTGTGTGTTCATCATCTCGGAGTCTGCTCAGTGGGTGTAGTCTCACAGAGCCCCAGGCTCAGAGAGCCTCACACTTATTTTAATGCTCTGCTGTCACTGTCTTGAAATTCTCGACAATTTTATGTTTGAACTTATGTTTTGCAAGTGAATTCTGACAGACATTGGAGCATGAACGTGAGTAGGGAAGATAAGCACAATATGTTAAGCTCAATAAGAATAATGGGGTATCTGCTGTTCCTTGCTACCTTATTTCCTTACAGAGTTCACAACACCTTGTGAACACAGAATTCTGGCGGACCCACAATACGTGGGAGTTCAGTGAGACTTAAAGAGTAAAAGGTGAGCGTGGCATATTGGCATATCTGCATATCTACCACTGACTTTTTGCTTGGGCCAGAACTTGCTTTGAATGCAGAAAGAAGGCCAAAGCATTCCAAGAAACGTGAATGACAGGAAAGCCGACCATACACTCTCTCATGTTACTTCTCTGTGTTGGCCAACTACTCGTACTGAAAATGATGACATAGAAGGAAAGAAAATTGTAATTCCTCACTCACCAAGAAGCCCAAGGTGAGCAGTGTTGGTAGATTGTGCACATATCAAGTGAGATGAAAACAGTTGAGTTGGTTTTGCGCAGCATTTCTATCATTCTGGAGAGAGTGAAATACACACACATGAGCAACAAAATAATGAATTGTGAAATTTTGATTATTCTGCATGTGAGTTACATGCTCTTCTATTTGCACTGAAAACACATTGCACAACATAAAAATGAATGGTACAATTCATACAATGACAAAATTAAATTTTTTATTAAAATAACATTAAATGGCAAATTAAACATCATAACAAGTTGAGAGAGAGACTTAGAAAGAAAGGAAAAAAGCTTTATATTTTCCTACCTTTAATGGCACTTCTTTCCCTGCTTTTGGAACAAAAAGCCTCACATTTTGATTTTGCACTAAGCCCCACAAATTATTTAGCCTCCCCCTGAATCAGCAAATGACTTTACCTCTTGGCGATTCTGTTTCCCTATTTGTAAAGTGGGCACAACCACAGCAGTGTCTCTATTATTGGACTATTGAAAGAATGAACAGTGCTTAGCATTCAGTAGTTGCTCAATAAACATAACCTTTTATTATAAAAATGAGTTAGTATAAAACATATCTTTATGATGTAGAATAGTCAATCTTTTTTGTTTGTTGGTTTGTTTTTGAGATGGGGCAGGGTGGTTCTCACTCCTGTTTCCCAGATTGGAGAGCAATGGCATGATCATGGCTCACTGAAGCCTCAGCCTCGGGGCTCAGGTGATTCTCCCAACTCAGCCTCCTGAGTAGCTGGGCCTACGGGCATGCACCACTATGCCTGGTTATTTATTTGTTTAATTAATTAATTTATTTTTGTATTTTTAGTAGAGACAGGCTTTTGCCACATTGCCTAGGCTGGTGAATTATTAAATCTTAAATTTCCCTCGATGGTGACTTTCTGTAAGCCAAACTTGATAGCGAATTCCCCTCTCCTATACTTTTCCTATGTTGGAGTAACTTGAATTTTTCACAGTAGCTTCATTAATAGGCTCACTTAATTTACTACTTAAATGATGCCACTGGTATTAGCCGAATACTTTATGTAGTCAGCAGTAGAATAAATAAAGTCAAAGAAATCTTTTAGGAGGAGACTATTGTGGAGCTATTTTTTTTAATTCCAAATAAAAACTGAGGTAAGGATTAAGCTATTGTTTATGTGAAAAAGCAGAAAAGGACACTTTCTACTTCTCAACAACAGATGGCGACGTAGCTAAGCAAATAGAGGACATTGTTCTCGGAGAAAATTCTGTCTTCAAGTGTGAGGAAGCAAAGCTATAAACAACATATGGAAAACAATGAACATTTTAATTAGGTGTTAATAACTGAATATTGAATCCTTGTCTTCCACCTAACTCACAACAATGTTATGACAGCTAATTAATAAGTGATTGTAAAGGAAATGATTAATTATTTACAGTAATAATTAGAATAGCTTACATGCTTGTAATCGTAAAATGGTTTTAAAAGTAGACAGATGCAAAGCAAGTTATTATTCTGTTGTTACAGAAATACTGCGGTGCCTCTTTCGGGATGCTTCCTATTATCATTCTGCATTGTCTGGATTTAATAAGCAGGCACCATCATGCATTTTTTTTCCAGCAAGTTTCATTTCAGCCATGGAATAGAAAATCATGTATGTGTTGTTTTTAAAGGATTTTCTGTCATACTTATTTGAAATTACATACATGGGAGTACACATGAAGGCCTACCGGTGTGGGGGGAACTTTTTGGAAAGATATTAACCACAGAACGAACCAAAACAAAACCCTGGACCAGAAGAATAAAGTCTCCCCCTAGAGTCTCTGTTTGTAGCATCTGATTCTCATATATAAAATCAAAACTAAAAAGCAACTATATAATCCCAAACTTCTCCTCCTCCGCCTTCTCATTCCATATTTCAAATCTCTTTGAACTGGTCTCATGTCTTCAGGATATAATGAAATCCCTTGCTCTGGAAGGAAGCCACAACAGATATATTTCAAGACCTTTCCCTTTCCTTTCTGCTGGTAGCAGAGCTAATGCAGTTTACTTATTAGATGAGTCACCATGGATACTGATACACTCAAGCCAAGTCTACCCTAGTGAGGGGAATTGGAGAATTGCGGCAATTATCTCATAATTTAAATAAACAAAGCTTCCCTCATTTTTGTTTCAGCTACCTGAATTTTTCAAGTGAATGTCTAATTTTAGTTTTGAATTATTAGAGGTGGTTCTTGTCTCAACCTTCTTATTAGCTAGCAGAGCTCTGGACTGCTTCGCAGTGAAGTACTTTAAGAATGTGCACCCAAGGCAAATGTATTCTGTGCTTTCTATTTTATCATCCCAAGCATTTCTACTTGGCGTTTGGGGAAACAATGTGAATAACTCAAGTCCAGGATGAAACATTTCTGGAAGGCAGACAATATTGAGATCTGGAAATGGTTGTTTGGAGAGCCTAGATATTTCCAACCAGACAAAGACATTCATAATACCACATCCTTCCGGACAATATGGACCCCAACACGTTTTGTGTGGATCACATGTTTCTTGGCTGGCCCCAGTCCAAGACACAACCTGTACCGAAACTTCCAACTGGGAGTTTACGGCTGATCCTGGCCACCTCTCTTAATCCCATCTTTCTTCTCAGACCATGTCCCAACCTTGCCAATGTGAATTCCTCCATCTTATTACCCCTTACTTATTGCAAGTGAACGTTCTAGGGAGACAGAGGAGCTTTGCAAGTGTAAGTCATGGCTGACATTTCCGGGTCCTAAAGCGTCATGTTGTTGTTCTTTAATAACTAGTTTCAATGTCTTAATTACTCAGCACCTTTAAGCCACAATTGTTTGGCTTCAAATAGGACCTGGGTGATGGTAGTTGCTAAGGTGTGAGCCCAGAATGACTATGATCTGCATTTCTTTTCATACTGTGCATTTTCGAAGACTGACTCTCAATTTTCAGCTTTTGCCACTGCCTGTAATATGTCTTGCTCTATGTGACTCAGCATGAAAGGCTTGTCTGACAATCCTATCTCTAATTTCTTATCATTTGCCAGCAGGAGATAGCCATGTTGCCTGTTCAGAGGAGGAGCATCTGTCTGATTGGACAGCATGCTGTGGGTGGAAAGGCTAAATGTCGGTAGAAGTGGACGCTGGCAGTTGACAGACCTGGGTTTGAATCCCATTCTTTCACTTCAGTCATGTGCAATATTTCTTACCTTCCCTGAACTTCAAATTTTATTTCTGTAAAACAGGGATAATAATACATATCTGGCAGAATAGTGATTAGAAATAACTTGTGTAGGCCGGGCGCGGTGGCTCATGCCTGTAATCCCAGCACTTCAGGAGGCCGAGGCGGGGGGATCACAAGGTCAGGAGATCGAGACCATTCTGGCTAACATGGTGAAACCCCGTCTCTACTAAAAATACAAAAAATTAGCCGGGGTGGTGGTGGGCACCTGTAGTCCCAGCTACTCAGGAGGCTGAGGCAGGAGAATGGTGTGAACCCGGGAGGTGGAGCTTGCAGTGAGCCAAGATGGGGCCACTGCACTACAGCCTGGGCGAGCTCCATCTCAAATAATAATAATAATAAATAAATAATAAATAAAAAAATAACTTGTGCAAAGTGCCCGGCAAAAGGTGAATGCTTAATAATGGTAAACATTGTTAAAACTGCTCTTTATGCAACAGGAGAGAAGATATTTCTATTCTTTTGCTATTATGCCTCATTCCCCTTTCTCTACCATAGCAGGACTTTACCCCTCAGTTACTTATTTTCCAAAAACATATTGTGAGCCCAACACTGTAGGGAACACAAATAGCATGTGGTGCTGTGACTCTGTCTTTAATCAATTACACTCTCATGAAGAAAAGACAAAATGGATATGCATGAAACACAACAATAATAATATCTAATATAGATTGAGAATTTTACTCTGTGACACATTTGTGTTAATGCTTTACAAATTGGATCTCATATCATCATCACAATCATCCAGTCAACAAAAGTATTGTTGTCATCCCAATTTTACAGAATAGAAAAACCTCAGAGAGGTTAAGAGTCTTGCCCAAGGTCACACAGCTAATAGTGGCAGAATCAGGACTTAAACTTGGGCCATCTGACTCTGGAAACTGAGCCCTTAACCACACTGTTTAATTGTTCACATGGACAGTATGAAGTGATGCAAACAAAAGGCTGTCAATTTTCAGAGGCTGGACAGACCATAGTAGGGTGGAATTTACCCAGAACATTTTTTGGAGGGAGTGTACCTTCATCTGAGTCCCACGAGGCTTTCTTTAAAAGGGAATGGTTAACAGTAAAATATAACAGTCACAAGAAGGTGAATTAGAAGTTCCCCATGAAACCACATGTCCATCATTTTTCTGCTTGGCTTAATGCCAGGGCCTGAATCTTCTCAAGTAATTCATGGCTGGTTCAGGTGTCCCCAGTATCCTGTGATCTCATTTCTCTTACATCAATCATTTGGACATCATTGTTTAAGGAATCAAGGGATTTTTGTGCAGGAAGGGATGCCAGGCATCCCGTCATGACCTCGAGGGAGAGGGTGGCAGTTGCCCAAGGTGACACAGCTGCCCCAGCTAGGAACTGGGTCTCTTGACTGCCAGACTCATTCTCTTTCTGCTTTGACACATTGGGACCTTGCCTTTGATGGCATCAAGGATGGGGGTATAGGTCTTACACAAATTCTCCCAGTTCTGTTTCAAGTGGTTATAGCACATAGCACTGTGCAATACTCATTTCCTCATTGGTACTTCCTTTCTCTGTATCAAGGCAGTAAGAATTTCCCAAAAGACGTTATTGGTCAGTCCGCATCTCCCTCATCAAAATGCTACTCTACTGTCTTGTGGAGAATCAAACACAATATGCTGGGGGCCCCTTCTCTCCTCCCGAGAAGTTGTGTTTCCCCCCAAACGGGAAGCAAAGCATGTTCACACTCAAAATCCTGAGCGTTTGATTAGATTTTAAAGTTGGCTGTACACCCTCTTCCTGCCACCCAATATGTTATGGGTTTGGCTGGAGACGTTTTTGTTTTGAACTAATGTCTTCATTTAAAACAAAAATTCAGAGCCTGGTTCGACAAATGCATAAACAGGTATCCGATTCAGAGTGACTTCTTCGAAGAGGCAGCCTCTCGCCGGCTGTCAGTGGGTCCTTGGTGAGTCGTTTGATGCATTCACTGCATTTTATATTACTTAATGTGGCTTACGTATCTGCCAATAAATCTGAAATACAGGTCACAGAATATGTAGCTCAAGGAAATCCATAAAAGTAGTAGAGAGAGGCTTCACTAACTGCATCAGATTGCCAAAAGCTGAGGTCATTTCCTCTTGCTAAAAACGTAGAGCTCCATAAATTATTTTTATCACCTCCAGAGTCAAGCAAACAGTTTTGCACAGATGCCAAAGGGGTTTCATTGCCTTTTCTCCTCTTTAAGCTGAAAACATTTTCCCAAGTCTTCTGCAAAGTGATTGTGTTTATCCTCCCTGCACCACCCCCCCCCCACCCCGCAGCATTGTTAACGTCCTGGTGTATTGCATGTAAATCTAGTAACATAAACACAACTGCATCTGGCTAGGGTCTTCAGTGAAAGTTACGCAAACACCTGAGCCTAGAAGATGGTTCTGACCTCGGTTTAAATATTCCCTATGATTGGGAGTTGACATTGTTTCCTTGAAGATATTTTTAAGGAGATGTTAGGTATGCAGAGACAGTAAAAATGAGCAGTGAACATTCAGTGGAGAACTTTATAGAAAACACTACTGAATTAACTTACAGTACATTTGTTAAACATGAGCACCTCTAATAATGACATTTCATTTAACAATGCCCTTTGTCTTTTCAGTTCATCAGTTACCTATTTCAGTAATGAACTGCAGTCATACCATTCTGATTTTCTCCTAATGTAAAGGCTCAGCTCACTTCACCGCCAGTGAAGCATGATGCTATTATTCAGTTCCTGGCTTAGGAAAAAAGCTGTAGAATATATCACAATTCTAATTGGCTAACAAATATTAAGCCCTACAATTGTTAAGGGCACCCAGTGATTCTGTTTAGCTTTTGATGGGAATAAGTAAAATAAAGAAAGGGGAACGGTTTGAAGGGGAAAAAAAAAAAGGTTAGCGTGTATACTTTATGAGCAGTAACCCAAGTATCCATTGAAAAAATATGAGCACACATTATATTTAATAGCTCAAATGTTATCTTAATTCTTTATCAACAATTCATGCAGATAGCTTAATACCAAATATTTTAGTTAGGATTAACAATCTGTGAAACAGAAGGTGTAGCAAATGAGAGATGGAATTTGTTCTACCTGCAGTCGCACGAGGAGCCAAATGTAAGCTACTGGAAGACTGGGTCATGCATGAGACATTCTTTTTCTGCCAAGTAAATGCAGGCAGATTTGGAAAATATTATGTCTCTCGTAGCCCCGATTTATACTTCCCACGGAAGGTAATGAAGCCTGGGTCCAAACTTATTTTTGTCCCTTTTGCAAAGCTTTCCTCGGAATGAAAGATGGGTCCCTTCCTTGTTTTCCTTTTTCCACGTGGCAGAATTCACTAAGGCATCTCCCCCATCTCTCTTTTGAACTCACCACAACATCTCATTAGTAAAGGCAAGATTCAGCTCACCATAATCTTTCCCCAGCTGGGGCAAAGCTGCACAATTTACAATAGATCTTTGGAAAACTGCTTTTAACCGAGTGCTGCTGCATCTATAGATCTCTCTCAATTACCCACAGTAAATTTAGGCATTGTACAAGAGCAAATTTTACAGTCCATGAAGAGATGAAGTAAAATCTAGATGAAATTCATTGTGACAGATTCCCAGTTAGTGCTCTGATGTGTCTGTATTACAGAAGATAGACATTCTATTAGCATGGAAGCTCCCATAATGGACTGTGAATCATCTCAGGTAATAGAGATGCCAAGCAGAATGACTGAAAAGCACTATTGAATTCCATTAGAGCTCTTTGTTTTTAAATCAGTCATTTCTTGTGAATAACCAACTATACACTTCTTGACCCTATCTCCAAGTGATAATTGTGGACTAATATTACAATACATTAATCTGAGTTACTGTGCAATTAGCATTTCAGCTGCAGGCTTATTTGGGGTCTCCTAAATGCAAAGGCCCATTCCTTTGGAAGCCACAGCTTATATTTCAAATGTGCAGTTTCAGAAAGGGCCTCTTCCATGATGCCATTTCGAGTTCTGTTTCCACATTCTGGAGTTGTTCCTTGGTCATCCTGTTTTCAGGGATTTTGTATTGTAACTTTGTGACTTCCTGCCCTTTTTCATTTAAAGATTTCTGCCTACACCAGGTCAGACATCAAAGGAAAATAATTATCACAAAGGTAAGTCTATAAGGAAACCATTTTAAATAAGCCAAGTCAGCAAATCTTTTCTGCCTTTTTAAAATCTCAAATATGTAGCTAATCTTTAGGAAAATAAAGAACATCACATTCTACTGCATAAACAGCCCCACCTAATCTATCAATTAAACACGATTGATCAGACACAGTGATTACTTGGATAATTAGTACAGGGTTTAGGTTTATGCTATACTCTGAAGCCTTTGGGATGTCTGCATAATTACCATTTGTACAGTAGATCGAGTTATAGGAATTCTGCTATTCAATTGTAAACATGAAGCACTTAGAAGAGACAACTCGAACTAGTGCATGTTTCTTAATTCATTGCATTTGATACAAATGCAACAGCTTGTCATGAGGCAAAGCTTTATTTGGCCAAAAGCTCCGAAGTTAGTATATATACATTTAAAAAACATCCTATCTCTTCTTGTATCTAGTGTCTTCCATCTGATTTGCAAGGCAGGAGAGAGGTAATTTCACAAGGGGACTGTGGCATCCAAAGCACAGCAACTTGAGTTGAGTCACTTCAATATTTTCCCATAAATTCCCTGGGACAACTTTAAAAAGAGTCGACTTTACATCTTCTGTCTACAATCATCTATTTTCACATTGAGATGAACAACATTATCCTCATCTGCGGGAGGATCTGAGACTAGCGCCTCAACACGAGGCTTTCTACTTAATGTTGTAATGACAGGTGTAAGATTAACTTTGTTAGGTGTCTAGCCACTCATGCAAACTAAATTAAATTAATGGAACAAATTTCTCTCATAATTAAGATAAAAATTCATGTCAGCTGTAACCTTGCTGTACACTAATTATATACAAATGATTTATCATCTGCTTCGCCCAGAATATTAATCCTTACCTCATTGATAACTGCAGCCAGTGTTAAGAGATGAGAGTTGATTAACTATGACAGATTGGGCAACCACAGCCCTCGGTGCCGGCGCTACCAGTGAAACCAAGAACACTCAAGTAGCTCTCTGTGTTTAAAATGCATTCCCATGGAAACAGATGCATGCTTAATGAAGGATACTGAGATTATTTTCAATAATGACTGATATTGGAACAGTGGGCAGAGCTGATCAATAACAATT